CTGATACAGACTGATTCAGATTTGAACACTTCTATGACGTCACAGAAGTGGCGCTACGGCTATTGGGCCAACTCCACCAATCAGGAGGAGAGACAGCCACGGACATTGCCGTTGGAAAGCGCTGGAGACGCTGTAGTACATATGCCAGGCCTGTAGGTGGTGCTGTTCTCACAGAATCAGCCCATGATGCAAAGACAGTGTTACATTGAGCGAAATGAGGAATGGCTAAAATGCATGATCTGTTTGGTATTTTGAAAAATAAAAAGTATAAATATGCCTTATATAGGTATGGTCCTACACTATATTATTCAAATATAGCATGATAGGTCCACTTTAAGTAACACTTTGGATTAAGTACGTGTTCTCGGTAAAGAGGGTTTTATGACCTAAATTATTATAATTGAGACCAACCCAACACACACACACACACACACCTTACCCCTTACTTATTCTATTCTACATGTACTTATTTTATCTATTCCTTCATTTTACTTGCGACAACTTTTTTTTACTGCACTTTTTAACTTCCTCATTTCTTTTATATCTTAAGCATATCGTATGCGATGCCTGGGACTTAAAATGTGAATTGTGCATATGACTAAAACAGCTTTGCATATTGAATCCCCTTTTATGCCGTGTACATGTTTGTTTTTCCCTCTTATTCTTTGACTGTGCTGCATTGTGTTCCCACTGTTCAACTGTTCACCCTGACTAAGCAGCTCAGTGTTTGATTGTCCCGTCTTCATCCCTCTGTCAGATGTTCGGCTCCTGCCTCAACATTTATATCCCAGAATCTCCTCACTCATCTTCTGATCTGATCTGACTCCTCTGAAAGCATCAGGTGACAGGCAGCAGGAGTCTGAGTTGGAGCTCCAGGAGGAAAATGGTATTGTGAGAATGTAAAATATGTGAATCAAATCAAAATGCTTATGTGGCAGGGCCTTTGAACAACTTAGGGAAGTTTGAGAGTGATTCTTGCTCACATGTAAACTAAATTAAACTCAGACCCCTCTAAAGGTGGTTTCAAGTGTATGCTTAACCTGTAGCTTGTGAACACAAGAGTGCTCCAGGTTGGTACATTGCATTGTAGCCCCCTCAGGTTGCTGTAAACAGATCACATAGTCCCGGAAAGGAATATAATAAATCATGGAACGCTAGCCAAATAGTTGACAAGGAGTCTGTGTAAGAAACTACTGCACCTCTATAGATATTGAACAAAGAATACATTACATTTCAGTGTATATGAAAGTGACAAGGCTTGATTACACACACGCTGCAATACTGCATCAAATACAAAGAAGTATTAATGAAATAAGAATAAAGCGGAGAAATATCTCTTCAAAGACACATGTCCTTATTTGCAATGTTTTCGATGTGAAAGCAGTCAATTTTCTGTTCGTCCATTTTAAGAAGACTAGTCTGTTCAAAAAGTAACACATGTGAAAACACACTTAATTTAAACATGAGAGTGCCGTTGTGAAATGATATATGGCGGTATTTTCTGGTAACCCCAACATCGAAACTGCCTTCCCTTTATTTTTTATAATGATTTTTATTGTTATAAGAAGATCTCTGATCTCAGTGTTCAGGCTGCTGATCCCGCTTCAGGTAATTGTGAAAATGGAATCCGTGGGAGAGGTATCCCATTGTGTATGACCAGTGGCCAAATAATGACCCAACACAACAACTGCCTTCATTTAAAAGTATGCTATTAAAATAAGGAAACATAGCAACGAGCTACATCGCTAACGAGTGTTTGTCAGAGCTCGTGTTAAACAACCTGAATCGCGTCAACTACCAGCCTTCTATAAATAAGTGACCTGTATCATACCAACCTACACCACGCTAACTATCTGCATTAACCTCCCGCGGTTCGGAGAGCGGATGCATCTCGTTAGCCCACCGTAGCTTCGAACACCCCCACACTGCTGCTGCGGCTATAAATAGAAACCAATCTGCAGCCCCACCTAATGAGCACCATCCACTTCACCTCACTGTCAACAACGTGTGTGTGTGTGTGTGTGTGTGTGTGTGTGTGTAAAGATACAGCTGACCATGCTGTTTTGATCAAATCACTACTCTGCCAAGAAATGTGTGTGTGGTGTGTGTAATTGTGTGTTTCTTGGTATCTTTTGTTGCTAAAAATAGATGAAGCTAATTTGGAAGTTGCCTTGGCAGCATGACGGCAGCTCGACAGGCAGATCGCCCTCTCTCTCTCTCCCTCTCCATCTCCGCTCACCTTTCTTTTTCTTCTGTCGACTGTTTCAAGTTTCACGGAGCCACTCGTTCAAGGTCAGGGTCCTTGAACAAGTTAGGGTAGGTTTTATTTGTATCTTTAACCTAACATTTTGAATATTTGGCCTGAGAACCTTTTTCCAAGTCAAACTCAAATACAATTAGGAGAACATGATGGGATCCAACCAGAAGCAATGCCAAAATCGGGCCAGGGGCGCAGAATTTGGCGGGGGCCCAGCCCACTTCCTAACCTCAGCATTCAATACTTGACGAAATGTGTGATGTGTGTTTGCATTGCAAGAACAAGGACACAAATTGAAGAAGAAACATCTTTTTATATTTCAAAAATAATCTAGGAACATAATGAAAAACCAAACACTGGGTCTGAACATCCAGAAAATTGAGAAACAAAATATATTTTCTTAGAAAATATTAATTATTTACAAAACAAACATTTATATTTTAGTTTGGGCTCTCAACAGAGAAGCCCGATTTTTTTTATAGTAATAAAAATAAACTTTTACATATTAATTCCTCCCATAACTTCAATTGAGGCAGTTTGAAAATTGAAATCAAACAAGATTTCAAAACAACTTAATCCGCTTTGCATTTGCAACAACAACAACAACAACAACAACAACTGTACACCCCAAGTCTTGAACTTGCATAACAAACATGATGATTTCAACTTTAAAGAGCAACTTGCAGGTTAGAGACACCAGTGAATAAATGTGTAGGGAAATGATGAATACACTAGATTTTCCAAAAAATATACAGAAATATACTTTACAGTGACATCTTCATTTCCGCATAAAAAAGCCTCCGCACATGACCTCCCGCGTGTGACGTAACATGGGGGAGAGCGGCCGGTCTAACGTATGAATAAACATGGATCACAATGCTAGTTTTGACACAGAAGAGGTTGAACATATATATTCGAATGCATATGATTATAATTATGAGCCTGCTAGGCGTCCAAGAGACCAGGAGCAGCCAAGGATTAGAAGAAATAACGGCCATCGGAGAGAAATGGAGCTGTGGTGTGAGGAGAACCAGTGGAGAACAGAGCAGCTGTCTTTGTGAGTGACCGGCGTTAGCATGTTAGCTAACGTCACATCACAACATTGTGAAGTTAGCTATCATATATCAGGCTATAACTAACGTAGCATTGATAATATAGTAACGTTACTGGCAGGACTGTTGATACTGATCCATAACAGAAACTAATGCGCAAGTATCAGCCGTATCTCGCGTTACCTAATGCAACTCCACACTACGGTGCTGTGTACCGGAGGAGAGACGCGAGATACGGCTGATACTTGACGATCTGGCGGAGAAAGGTTGTGGAGCCTCCGTTGATATGCCGTTGTAAATGGCTTGATGGAAAGCAGGTGTGTAGTCGGGGAGGGTGCACAGCTGATTGCAGCAGGTGAGTGGAGGTTGAGTCAGGAGCCAGGAGTGACAGCCACCACGCACACACAAACAACACAGACAGGGGGAAACAAACAAACACAAAGGAGACGGCTGGAGCAGTACAGCCACCACAGCGTTACCTAATGCAACTCCACACTACGTCTTACGGTGCCGTGTACCGGAGGGGAGAGAGAGAGAGCAGCGAAGGGGGGGGGAGAGAGAAGTAATACGGTTTCCTGATAAAGCTGTGGAGAGTATGTGCTGCAGGGAGGTGGATGCACAACGCACCCAGGAACGAACGCTAGCTCCGGTCCTTTTTACTGTGGACTCGATGTCCTGACAGGCTGGTATTTGTGCAACCTGCACAAACACAATACTGCA